GTCTTGTAACGCAGTGATGTGGGACTTTTTACGTCGTCTATGGCGAAGGACTGGCTATGGTGGTGGTAGGGGTTGTCGTATCTGGTTCGTACGCCTTGTGTGCGTGTTTGTTCCCTGGTGTGTCGATAGTGTCGTTTCGGAATGGTGTTTCTTTTGGGGGGAGGGCGTTTCGTCGGTAGTTCGTTTTTTAATTTTGAAATTTGCGTGTTTTTTTTTTTAACACGTGTTTTTGCTTTTTGCATTTTTTAAAAGAAATTGTAGAGACTCATAACTAATAGGTGTGACGTTGTTCTATTGTAAAAAGGTGGGGTTTATTGCTTGCACTAGTATAGATAAGTCGTCGCAAAATCGAGACAGGGGTTTTCCAGTGGGTTGTACTTCGGAGTATAGGGAGGGTAGTTTTTATTATTGCTTATATGGACGCGGTACATGCTTACGGTATTTTCGCATTTATTTTATGAGACCACGATAGCTAGAATCATTTATTTATTTATTTTAATTTAATTTTAATTTAATTTTATTATTTAATTAATTTATCTTATTTTTTAATTTAATTTTCATTATTCTGTATGTTTTAATTATTATCATATTTTTATAAAAAAAATAATTATTATAAAAAAATCTAGGCTACCAGAGTGGCCCGGGGTCACTTGCCCGGCCGAGCGAAAAAAAATTAAAATAATAAAAATAAAATAAATATTTTTAAATTTTAATTTTTATTCTAAATTTGGTGAAGAATTTCGATGTGACCGTGCGGCAAAAGTTGTTCAGTCTATTTTTCTGCATAACACAGTTGTTTTTTAGACTTTTTGGATTTGTTTTTTTTTTTTGCTGGGGCCTTCCCTGGTCCTTGCACGGGCTGGCCACCGGGGACCCGGGCGGCCCGGCTGGTAGCCTAGAAAAAAAATAATTATTTTTAATCTTTCTTTTATATATATTTTTTAAAATAGGAAAATTGACTTTATATTATTACTTTTTATTTTTAATTATATTTTTTTATTTTTTTTTAATTTTTCATGTATGTGTGTGTGTGCGCGTGTGGGTGTGTGTGTGTGTGTGGCAACTGCGACCCTCCCCACGAGTCGCGCAGCTCCCGCGAGACGGCAACTGCGACCCTTCCCGCGAGCCGCGCTGCTCCCACGCGACGGCAACTGCGACCCTCCCCGTGGGCGCAGGCGCGGGAGCTGCGCGGCTCGCGGGGAGGGTCCCAGTTGCACACGCGCACGCACGAGAGAGAGAGAGAGAGAGAGAGAGAGAGAGAGGGGTGTGTGTGTGTGTGTGTGTGTGTGTGTGTGTGTGTGTGAGAGAGAGGGGAGGGAGGGCCGCTCCCCCACCAATCAATCAATCAATCAACCAATCAATCAACCAATCAATCAATCAATCAAACAATCAATCAATCAATCAGTCAATAAAAAAACAATCAATCAATCGATCTTTTTTTATTTTATTTTTCACACATCAAAAACTGGCCCCCCAAAATTTTGATATATAGATATATATTTTTGCACAGGCTGACAGCGGCCGATGCCACAGGCTGACAGCGGCCGCGGCACCACCTGGCTGGTTGGGGGGCCAAAATTTTGATATATATATATATATATTTTTGCACAGGCTGACTGCGGCCGCGCCACAGCCAGGTGTGCACAGCCAGGTGTGGCCGCGGTCCCGCGAACGAATGGCTACCTCCTAATAATTTGGAGGCTAGGGGCTACCTGACTACAGTGGCTGAAAAAATGCTGAGCGTGCATCCCACACTTGCACGGCAGATGCCTGCTGGCTGCCCTGTTGCCACTGAAACCATTTCTGAGATGATTTCTCGATCTATGGGCATGGCCCCACAGCACGTGGAAACGTGCAAAAGACAAAACCTACATATTGGGGGTCTTTCCATTTTCCTTTTTTTATCGCTTGTTTTTTTTTTTTTTTTTTTTGACTACTATTATTTTAAAGATGCTTGGCTTTTATATTGGAACTCCGGCTGCTAACGCGGTGCGGACCACGCTCCAAATGTAAGGCCATAGAGCCGAGCTCATCCACCAACCTGACGGTTTGTAACCATAGGCCCGGCGGCAAGGCACACGAAACAGAAAACAAAAAAAGAAGGCGTCTGTCCACAAAACGTGGCAAAATGCATTTGTTACTACTCATAGTAAATGGATGAATGAATTGTTCCATTCTTGGTGGGAAGGTGCATTCGTTTCGTTTTCAGGGAAGGTAGCAAAGTGCATCGGGTACTCCTTATAGAAAACCAATGCATTGTTCCACATTCAGCGCCAAGATGCACTGGTTTTGTTTTCATTTCCACAGCAGTGCGGTCAGGACCTATTTACCGGACTGGTGTTTCCGCGGAACAGTGCCCCCGACCATTTTAAGAGCAGGAGGAGGAGGTACTCGAGGAGACCGTCGTAGGGGACATGTATGGCTATGGCCAGAACGGTTGCATGCTCGAAGGAGAAGGCGGCTATGGCGGCAGGCTCACCTTGCATCGTCTCCGAAGAGTCCGAACAACGAACGACTCTTTAGGTGTATATACACTCTACTGGGTGGGTGAGTCTCTTTTTTTTTTTTTTTTTTTGAAGCCCATTTTTTTTTGGAGGTGGGATACTAGACAGACGACAGTGACCCACAGTAATCGGCCATTCGGTGAGGAGCAGCAAATAATGCATTACAGTCCAGCGTCCCTACAAAAATACTATAATTAATTTTAAAAAATGCAGCTCTCCACAGTCATGTCTTTTCCTCCTATGGTTAGGGCGAGAGGCACGAATTACTTACTCACCTCCCACCAAATCTTTCTATTCGTCTGAATCCACCTTTTTTTTTTCGTTTCTTTTCAACTAAATATCATGACTGCCAGAATGTCTATTTTCCATCTTCCTTTCCTTTCTTTTATTTTCTTAATCCTCCTCTTCCATCTCTCTATCTATGCTTGTCATGCTTGCGCAGGGGCCATGCTTGTCTTCTTTCTCTGAATCGTTCCATTTTTCACGGATGCCCCAAAGGCAATTAATCCTCTTCCCCTTCTTTCCCTCCGTTGTCTTCCTTCTTTAAAAAAAAAAGGGGCAACGGCCATGAGATATCATCCTGGATTTACCGCCCCTGGTAAATCAGAAATTTATTCACCTACTTCCATCTGCATGCGAACGCAGCTCTGTATTTCAACAATACACGAGGTGAACCAGCGGGCCAACTGAGCTAGGCCCGTTGGTTCGTTCTTTCACTATATTTGCCTCTTCCTATCCTTCATCCCTTCTTATTCCGGTCGTATATGTACAGCCGAAAGATCACCATTCATTGCATTCAACCATTGTTTCTACGCATAAATCTGGGAGAAACATTTCTCCTCTGCCCCCCTGCTGTCACAAACTCTTTCTCCCTCCCTTTCTCCCTCCCTTTCTCCCTCCCTCCCTCTTTCCCTCCGTCCCTCCCTACCTCCCTCCC